AAGTTGGATTTTAATTGGTTAAGCATGCCTATTTATGAAAAAATTTTAATGCATATTATTTGATATGTGAGATATCTATTTTTTTTTTAAATGAGCATATTTACTTATTATCTATATGTAGATCTGGCAAAAATACACCCGACTCTTACCCGACTTGTAAAAACGGGTTAGGATCTACATATCTCAACCTGCAACCCGTAGATAACCCATATTATCAACCTATATGGGTCACAGGTTGAGTTAGGGTCAACCCGCGGGTTGATGGGTTGACGGGTTGACCTGTTTGTTTTATTTTTTATTATTTTTTTTAGATGTTATACTTATTATTTTTAATTAATTTTCTTATTGTTAACTCCTTCCATTAATTCATACTCCCTAATTTTTAGAGAAAGGCGAAGAAATTATGATGAGTTTGATCTAATTATCCAAGTATCATTTTTTTTTTTTTTGTATCAACAATTACCCAAGTATTATGAATGAAATGATAATGAAACTAAAAATATAAAAATATGTGATGCTAGGAAATAAACATAATAACTTAATGAAATATGTTCTTGGAAGAGCAATTTCATCATTAAAAAAATGACTTAAACTATTTGATAATGTTTCAAGATGATTATAAAATTAAAACTTTATTTTCCAAGAAATTTAAATATTTTACGTTTAATATTGTTATTGTTAATCAACTTATTATTGTTTATAACTTTATGATTTTTTTCTTAATTTAATTGTTTGTGGTTGAGATTATAAAGTACTTAGTTTTAATGAATGCAATACTTTAATTAGATTTACATATATATAATTTTATTTGTATATAATAAAATTAATAAAAAATAATTATAAAGAATGAAAATAAGGTCAATCTGCGGGTTAACCCATAACCCGTTAGGGTTAGATTTTTCCAACTCGCAACCCGTTCATAACCCAACCCGTATAATCCGTCACCCGAATTAACTCAACTCGAACCCGACCCCGACCCAACCCACCCGTTTGCCAGGTCTATCTACATGCTAGCTTGGTTTAATCTCCGATATAGTTATATTTATACTTGTTGCATGCCAATGGGAGGTTAAGTAAAAATAATTAAAAAGGGAAATTGAATATTCATTTTTTGGGATTATATTTCATTTTTCCCTTACCCACAATTTCAGGTAATGATGCTAAAAGCACTGAGCATAAGGGAGTATGATGGTTTCTTATTAGATTTAGTTTGTACTTTAGTTAAAATAGCATGTCATGATTTCTTATTAAATTCAGTTTGTACTTAGTTAAAATTTAGTTTAGTCTTTGAACTTATTTGTTAGTATTAGGAAGTTGAAAGAACTTATTAACAGTATTACATAATTTGACTTAGAAATATTTATTTGGATGTTATTTTAGTTTGAATAATATTTGTGATATTTTTAGATTTGAATTTATTAGTTTTGACTTTATATAATAAATTAACTTGATTATAAGTCCTGTGCACTTGTAGGTCTCACTCATAAGTCTATAACATTTATTCTACTTTAGGGTTTGAGGTGTGACAATAATATAATTGTGATACATTTTACCAGGGAGATTAATCATTAAGTGTTTATACATGGTATGTCTAGTAAGAAATGTATTGTTTTAAGGTTTTTCACAATCACCGAAGTTCCTTCCCTTCTTTGTGATCATTAAATGTAAATTCAAGAAATTTACAAACATCTTTCTTATATTTAGGATGGTGCATTATGTTGCAAATAAAGATTTGTTTTTATTAGCAAAATAAAATTATATTATTAACTTTTATCCTCCTGCAAAGATATATAATTTACCAATTAAAAGTTAGAGATACATAAATTATCAAGAGATAAAAGAAATGTCAATAAAGAAGTCAAAATTTTGAAATAGAATAAATTAAAAGTAGATATCACCTAATATTTAGCTTATATAATGTGTTATTTCAATTTATGTACAAATGAAGTTGAAGCTATATCTATATTAGAAGAAGTGGAAGTCTTAGTAAATTTCTTAATATGCAATCATACTCAGTTTTTGAGCCTCTTTCAAAATTGCTCTCACCTAACAACTTACGTAATTAATAACAAACAATTGTCTAATAACAAATAATTATTGGTATTATTTCATTTAATAAGAACAACCTTTTAATTGATCCTATATTTGTTAATTCTTATTTTATATATCTTTAGCTGCGAATGAAACTAATTAATATATGAAAATATATTAAAAAAAGATATTCAAATTTCTTTTGTTTTTATTTTTGGCCAAACAAAAAATTGACAATGCTAAAAATTACAGCAATGAGAAAATAACCAAATTCTTACTTTCTTTTTTCTTGGCAAAAGAAAAATCAACAGAGTCCCAATATAGTTAACTATATTTTGTAGTTGTAATTTTAACCCTGTGATGAAAAAGAATTACAAAATAAAAAAAAAAATTTATTCATTGCAAATAAAAGAGAGAGCTTAAGCACCTTCTTTTCGCTTGCATATTGCATTTTGCTTGTCATCCTTTTTGGTCTTAACTAGTTTAATAGATTGAATTTTGATGCATAATGTGATACTATTTACCCTAGATTTTAATGTTATTTGAGTATGGTATATGTGATTTTATTTGATTCTACATAAGTTTTGTTGGTTTTGTAAAAAAGAACTCAATCGTAAAAAATTAGAAATTTTAGAATTAAATTGCAAAATTTTTTAAAATTTAAGGATCCACATTGTGAAGAAATTAAAATTAAGG